ACACCTGTTTTTCAGTTCCTTGGGGTATATGCCAAGGAGTGGAATTGCTGGGACATATGGAAATTCCATGTTTAACTTTTTGAGGAAATGCCAAATTATTTTTCACAGTGGCTGCATCATCACATCCACATCAATGCTTGTAATCTTTTGTCTTTTTGACTATAGTCATTCTAGTGTGTGTGAAGTGGTATCTCATTGTAGTTTTGATTTTCATTTCCCTAATTATTAATGATGGTGAGCATCTTTTCATGTGCTTATTGGCCATTTGTATATGTTCTTCAGAGAAATATCTATTCAAGTCCTCTGTTCATTTTTAAATTGGGTTTTTGTCTTTTCATTGTTGAGTTGTAAGAATTATTGATATATTCTAGATATTAGACTCTTATCAGATGTATGATTTACAACTATTTTCTCCCACTCTGTGTGTTGTCTTTTCATTTTCCTGATAGTGTCCTTTGATATACAAAAGTTAAAAATCTTTTTGCTAAAATGTAATTGACTTACAATAATATATTAGTTTTGGGCATACAACATAGTGGTTCAATATTTTTATACATTACAAAATGATCTCCATGATAAATCTAGTTACCATCTGTCCCCATGCAAAGTTATTACAGTATTATTGACTATATTCCCTACGTTGTATATAACATCCCCATGACTTTTGTTTTGTTTTAATTTTGTTAGTTTTTTTAAGAACAAATGGAAGATTTAATAGATACACTGCTATAGGCAACAGCAGGCCACACAGACAAAAGATGCCCATGTGAGCCACTTATTTATTTTATAACTAGACTTTCGTACCTCAGTCTCCCTCACCAATTTCACTTATCCCACTAAACTCCTCCCCTCTGGCAACCACTAGCTTGTTCTCCGTATCTATGAGTCTGTTTCTGTTTTGTTGTGTTTGTTCATTTTGTTTTTCAGATTCCACGCTTAAGTGAAATCATATGGTATTCATCTTTCTCAAGAAGGTTTTAATTTTGATGAAATTTAATTTGCATTTTCTTTTCTGGGGCTTGTGCTTTGGGTGTTATATTTAAGGAACTGTTGCTTCATCCAAGGTCACAAAGATTTATGTTTATGTTTTCTTCTAAGAGTTCAATAGTTTTAACTCTTACATTTAGGTCTTACATTGATTTTGAATTAATTTCTGTTTATGGTCATGAAATAAGGACCCAACTTCGTTCTTTTGCGTGTGGATATCCTATTATTTTCCCATTGAATGCTCCTGGCACCCTTGTCAAAAATCAATTGATCATACATAGATATGTGGTTTTATTTCTGGTTTCTCAATTCTATTCCATCGATCTGTGTATCTATCCTTAAGATGATACCACAATGTTTGGATTATTGTAGCTTTGTAGTAAGTTTTGAAATTGGAAAATATGAGATCCCCCCTTTTGTTCTTCTTTTTCAAGGTTGTTTAGGGTATTTGGGGGTCTCCTGCAACTTCATATGAATTTGAGGATAAGTCTGTCCATTTCTGCAAAGAAATCAGTTGAAATTTTGATACAGATTGCACTGAAGCTATAGATCATTTTGGAGAGTTATACCTCTTAACAATACTAAGTCTTTCAATCCATGAACACATGACATCTTTCCATTTATTTAAGTTTTATTTATTTCCACAACATTTTGTGGTTTTTAGAGGACAAATCTTGCATTTCTTCGGTTAAAGTTATTCCAAAATATTTCATTCTCTTTGATGCTATTGTGAAGGAATTGTCTTAATATAGAAATACAACTGATATTTGTATATTGATCTTACAACACTGGTGAACTTGTTCATTTGCTCTCATCATTTGTTTCGGGGTGTGTGAATTCTTCAGTGGTTTCTATATGAAAGATCACATCATCTATGAATAGAGATAGTTCGACTTCTTCCCTTCCAAATTGGACCCCTTTCTCCCCTTGCCTAATTGCCCTGGCTAGAACTTCTAGTACAATGTTGACTAGAAGGGGCAAAAGTAGCCTTCCTTGTCTACTTCCTGGTCTTAGGGGGAACGCATTAGTCTAGGAGTGATGTTAGCAGTGAGTTTTTCACAGATGTCTTAATAAATGTTGAGGAAGGATCCCTTCTACTCCTAGTTTGTTGAGTGTTTTTATCATGAAAGGGTGTTGGGTTTGTTTTCAAGGCGTTCATCTGTATTCATTGAGATACATGAAGGTTTTCTTCCTTTTTCTATTAATCTGGTGCTGGGCAACATGACAAAGATTCAGTAAACAGTTATTGAATTAATGCTCTAAGTGCCACTGCCCTGACAATAGCAGAGTGGAGTTGCTGCACGGTTTAGCTGTGTGTTTCTGTGTTGTTGGTCTGTCTTTGTTGTTTCTGCAGCACCTAAGGGGGGTCATCCCCAGTCATCACTGTTTTCTCTCTCCCAGCGGTCCTTTTGACCTACTGCAACCTCTTGGAATGCCTGTCTAGGGTTTCAGGTAGTTGAACTACCTCAGGTCAACCAGAACTGACAACTATACACGTAGCCTATGATCTTGACCTTTTAAACATTTGGGCTAGTTAAACCAGACAAGAGATCTTTGCCTTCCAAATGTGCAGGTCTAAAAGGTGAATGTTAAATCCCTAGTGTATTGCGCATTAGAAAGCTACAAAGAGTTAATTCCCAGAAGTCATTCCTATGCATCTTGGTGTCTGGATGAAAACTGAATCTGGGACCTCAGTTACCTGATGGAGTCCCACGTAGCCTTAGCTGGCAGTAATACTGATGAGGATGCCAATCATTTTTCCCACTTGGAGACCCAATTACAATCCTGTCTTAGGCAATCTGTTCTCCAAGTGCATCCGGAAGTGGCATTATTTTTCTCTTTTCTTCTGTTGTTACAGGGAGTTTCTGGTTCCTGAATCTTTAACCCCTTGTGCTCCACAACACAGCCCTACTTGACTGAAGAAGGGAAGTAACATCATGCATTCGAATTGTTTTTCACGGTTTGGGAAAGCACTTTGATGTTGTCTCAACCAATCCTCTTCGCTGCTCGGCAAGCAGGGGTGGCCGTGCCACCAGGTGAAGAAACCGAGGTTCCAAGAGGTTAAGTCATCTACCTGCCTGCGTCCTCCAGCTGGTAAGGGATGGAGCGATGGGACTCGAAATGACTTTCTGGCTCATGTGGTGCTTGTTTTTCTCTGCTACAGAGGGCTTCAGGAAACAGGTGCAGATGTTTCCAAAGGACCACAGACAGAAAAGGCTTCTTGGTTCAGTGGTTCATGGAGGGATGAAGGTTGAAGTCTCATTGAAAGGCTGTGCTGGAGGACAGAGAAGGATTCTGAAGAGGGGACTGGAATGGGCACTTTTAGCATCAAAAACCAAACCTCTCCACCTCTCAAGCAGCAGTGTGTGTCCTGGGCCTCCATTTATAACAGTTCCCCTGTGCTGACCCTTGTCACTTCTCCCTTCAGTGAATGATTGGTGGCATGTTTTTGATCCTAAGCCACCTGGTGCACATCTGGTCACCTACCTGAACAGTGAGCTTGTGGTCAGAGGGCATGAATTCCTCTGGGCTGGTGTCTAAGCAAAATGAGTCATGGAGGAAAATCCTCATCAAAAAATAGCCAAGCATTTGTGGCAAAGACCATGCACCCAAGAAGAGACTAGGAGCCTTCGCCAGGCTGTGTTCCGAGAGCACTTTTATGCTGCTTTTCCTCCTCTGCCTTCTGTCATTGAACAGAGGACAAGGACAAGAGAATGAGAATAAATGAGATGGAAAGAAAATGACGAAATCTATTCATTCATTTATTCCTTTGCATTTACTCCTATATTGCTTTACTTAGTACATATGTATTAAGTATTTACTGTGTGTTGGGACCTGTGCTGGGCACTGGAAATACAAGAATGAGCAAGGCAGACATGGTTTTTGACTTCATGGAACCTGGGGTCTAGTAGAGGAAGAAAACTAATAATTACAAATAATTACAAATCAGAGTGAAGTACCAGGAGGAAAATAAATAAGACCCTTTCACCAGACAGCAGTGGAGGGAGACTTAAGTGGATTCGATGGTCAGAAAGACATCTCTTTGAGGATATGACATCTAAGTTCTATTTTATATATAAGAAGAAACCCATCTTGGAGCAGAGGAAGAAGTTAGGGGGAGAAGAGTTCTCCACACAAAGCATAAGGAACAGCAAATGCAAAGGCCCTGAGGTGGCAAAGAAATTCATGCCTTGGAAAAAAATGAAAGAAACCCAGTGTGGCCAATGTGTGGGGAGCAAGGAGGAGAGCGATGGAAGATAAGGTCACAGAGGTAGATAGGGGCTTGATCATGCAAGGCTTCGTCTCTCCTCCCTAGCCTTCTCTTCCTCTCTACATCCCAGTGAGACCTTAGAAGAGTGTGTCCAATGGAAATAGATCAAAGCCAATGGAAATAGGACAAAGGGAAAGTAAGCAGTGGAGAGACTGAGTTGTTGGTCTCAGTTCTTCACTCCTCCATATGCTATATCCATGGTATAGACTATGAACTCTTGCCGTGGACTCTTGATTTAGGGCTTGGCTTTGGGACTTGCTTTGGCCAATGGTATGTGAAAGCAACAAAGGCTGAACCTATGCTGGCCCAAATGAGTATACCCCCTTGCACTTCTGCCTTTTGTTATTAAAAGAATAAGCCTTGGGGAGTCCAAGGAAGATGAGAGATACCTGCAGCAGACCTGCACCCCCCCTGAAGCCTGGAGTCAAGCCCCACCAAGCCTAGCTTAGAAGTATGGCATTGAATTGTTTGTTTTGCCTTTAAGTTTTTGGAGAGGTTTGTTACACAGCATTATTCTGGCAATAGCTGACCAATACTAGCAAGGCGGTGAGGACTTCTCTGCGGAATGATTGACAGAGACAGGATACTTATCTGGAGAACAGAAGATTAAAAGGGAATTAAGGTCTGTCACATGACAGAGGATTCATTCCATGTGATTCTAAAGTACATGTATGAGATCAATGAATCACATGTATCTCTACCTGGGAAGAACTTTTTATCGACTAGAAGTGCCAGGAAAATGGTGCTTGCTTCAGCAGCACACATACTGAAATGGGAAGAAGACAGAGAAGGTTAGCATGGCCCCTGTGCAAGGATGATATGCAAATTTGTGAAGCCATGCATGTTTTAAAAATCTATTTACAAAACAGAAACAAACTGACAGACATAGAAAACAAACTTATGGTTACCAGGGGGGAAAGCGGGTAGGAAGGGATAAATTAGGAGTTCAAGATTTGCAGTTACTAACTACTACATATAAAATAGATAAACAACAATTTCTACTGTATAGAACAAGGAACTCTATTCAATATCTTGTAGTAACCTATTATGAAAAAGAATATGGAAAGGAATATATGTATGTATATGTATGACTGAAACATGATGCTGTACACCAGAAATTGTCACAACATTGTAAACTGACTAGACTTCAATTTAAAAAAGTGCCAAGAAAGTGGCATAAATTATCTCAGACTATTTTTTCACAACCAGAGGGCATGGCAATAACAATGTAGTGCCTACTGTGTGCCAAGGACCTTCATGTTTTTTTCTTTTCTTTTCTTTTCTTTGGAAATACAACTTTATTCTGACTCTACTTGGGAGTGGGAATGACAGTAACATACAAGATTTCACCCCTGATTGTTGTGATGTGACTGTAACAGTCTTATATTCAAAACTGCCACTGGAGTTTTCTTCCTTATTTTACCAGAGTGTACCATTAAGTAATATCTCATGCAGAGGTGTGTGGTGGATAAAGTTTCCAAATACTTTATATTTGGAAATTTATTTATTTTGCCTTTATCCTTGATTGATAGTTGCACTGGGCATTGAATCTTAGTCTATAAATCAAATTCCCTTAAAACTCTGAAGGCCTTAGTCTACTGCCTGCTATAAAGGTTTTCTTATTGAAGACCCTGACCCACTCTCATTCTCATTGCTTTATAGGGAACTGACCTGCAGTGGAAGCTTTCAGGGTGCCCTCCTTACCCTGGCTGACCTCTGCTTCAGTGTTGTTCCCAGGTGTGGGCCTGCTTCACTCCCTGCTCTGAGATTGTACGTCCTTCCCCTCTGAGAAATTTTCCTGTATTATTTCTTTGATCATTTCCTCTCCTCCATGTTTTCATCCTTTTTTTTTCTCCCAAAAAACTCCTATTGGTCAGATCGTAATTTGACTTTTCTATGTCTCATCTATTTTTTAAACCATTTTTTAAAAATTGAAGTATAATTGATTCACCATGGTGCATCTCTTATCTATTGGCTTGCTTCTTCCAACTCTTTGTCTTGATATTTTCAAATCACGTGAGGATATTTAAGCTCAAGAACAATTTGTCTTTTCACTTAGAGTTTTATATGAAAACGTATTTGTTGTTATAGTGTTTCTATAATAACAGAGTGACAGACATTTCAAACAAGAAATGTTCACTTAAGAGTTTAACGATTACCATAAAATGTGAATCAAAACTGACTTAAATGAGCGAGGATCTGAGAACTTAACTACCAAATGACAGCAAGGGCTTTTTAGAGGCATACAATGGAGACTGCAGTAACTGGGTGAGGCCAGAGCTGGTTAGGAAAAAGAAAGCTGTGAAAACTGTGGTCTTGCAAGGGCTTCAGGTTGTGCCTTAGGTCCCCAGGCACTTGGGGCACGTGGCACCCTGCTCCCAACCCCTGCCAAGAAGTGGTGCAGAGGAGCTGAAAGGGTCAAATCCCAAGTCGGTGATGGGATCTTCCCTGAGCAAGGCAGATGGGCTGCGACTGACAGGGGGTCTCCCTGCCAGGGATGGAAGCCAGTCAAGGCACCAGGCAGGGGGAAGCAGGATGCAGGCAGACAAATGGAGAGTCAGGCTCAGACAAGGGACCAGGGTGAGGTTTGAGTGGATGTTGAGGTCAGGTGAGAAATTGACAGAGGCTCTGAATGCTGACCGGCATCCGATGCCACGTGAGTCAAGAGAAGCAGCACTCATCTGGATTATGGGGCTGAGCAGGCTATTCCCTAGCCTAACCCTCTACCTCCATGCTGCAGGGTCCTCCTCTAATGAAGATGAGGCAAGAGGAGAGAAGGATACCACGGAGGTTCAAGGGCCTTCTGATGGTCCTGGACCCTGAATGCGTGACTGTTTTCCTCCTTGAGCCTTGTTCACCCTTTGTGTGCTGTGTTGTCGCACCCGCTTAACCTCACCTCATTTGCAGTCAGTTTCACTGGAAGAGGGAGTAAGAGACACAGACATACATACAGCACCACCACCACCACCACCACCACCACCACCACCACACCAACTGGTCCTTTCCTTTGCGCACAAATATGCAGAGAGTCCGCCCTGCGCCGAGCTGGGGCTGAAGCTGCAGCACTGAGTCGGATGCTCTTTCTGTTTCCGTGTCCTGTAGGGGGGCAGACGTGTGAACAGAAGAGGGCTGGCGATTCCTTCACGGTTCAGCTGCCTCCAAATGAGATGTTTGGCAGGAGAGGAGGACTGCAACCTGTTGTTCTTCTGTTCATTGTTTATTTGCTAAGAGAATACTTTAGATAATTAGTCATTCATGCAAATGTTTACTTACTCAACAAATGGTTATTGGAGTCCAATAATGATAATAATTAGCCCACATTGAGTGCGTGCTCCGTGTCAGGCACAGAGCTGAGCCCTTTGAACTCCACTCTGCGCCAGATGTTAGCAGGACAGAGATGAAGAGGCAGTAACTGCCTCCAAGTTGTTGAGAGGCCAGTAATCAACACTGCAACCATTTCGTGTAACCTTCGCTACAGCAGCCTGTCAAGTACTGCTCCTGAGAGGAAGAACAGTATGATGATTAGAGGAAGGACTTTGTATCAGGGATCTGAGTTTGAAACCTGATTATACTCCTTTTTGGCTGTGTAGCCTTGGGCAAGTTCCTTAAGCTCCTTAAGCCTCAGTTTTCCCATCTATAAGATGGGCATGGAATTCATAACCACGTTGCCTCATGGAGTTGTGAGGGTTAGACGAGATTATGTATGTATGTACGTGCTTGGCACGTGGAGTTGTTATTAAGTCCAGGGTACTACGGGATCCTAGGAGTTAACTTAGCGTAATGTTAAATTAAGGCAACTCAAAGGCATTAATACCTACAGGATGAGTAGTCAGACAAAGAAGGGAGTGGAATTAGTCTAAATGGTTTATATCATTCTGATTGGAAGCTCAGCATTGCTTTCCTGCTCCCCACAGTATTTCTGCGGAATGACACAGACCTCTTCAGTCTCGACTTTAATCACCGTAACTCACAGTGCATAATTGCAGTAGACCTTGAAAAGTCTCTTCTTCTGGGCTTCAAATTCTTTTTTTTTTTTTTTTAGTTTTTTTTTTTCTTTTTAATGGAGGTACTGGGGATCGAACCCAGGACCTTGTGCATGCTAAGCATAGGCTCTAACACTGAGCTATACCCGCACTGGGCTTCAGATTCTTCATCTTTACAGAGAAAAGGCTGTAACAATCCCACTTAGGAATCATCCTTTAAGTATGTTCACTATAGCATTACTAATAATAGCAAAAACTTGTAAGAAATATAAATATATATCAATGGAGAAATAGGTTAATAAATTATGCATTCATAAATGGAAGACTATCTAGCTGCTAAAAAAATACAGGTAAATTCCACACGGGCTGATGTAGAGAAATGTACTCAATCAAGCCATAATTTGCATGTAATAAGTGCACCAATTTGGGGGATACAGCGCTGTGCATTTTGGCAAATGCGTTCACTTGTCACCATCACTCCCATCAAGAAAAAACATTTCCATCACTTAAAAATTTCTCTCCTACCACTTTCCCAGCAATCTCTCCCCACCGGCACAGAGGCAACCACTATTCTGATTTCTAACCCCGTAGGCCCCTTTTTGTCTCTTCTTAAATTTTGTATTTTGGGAATTATGGTTTTGTTGGAATATTCAGTTATGTTGTCACAAGTAACAGTAGTTTCTTTATTGTTGCTGTTGCACACTGAGTGTTTGTATTTTCCCCGAATTCATATGTTGAAGCTTTAATCCTCAGTGTGGCTGTATTTGGAGATGGGGCTTTTAAAGAAATTATTAGGTTAAGTGAGATCATAAGGACGAGGCCTTGATCCAGTAGGATTAGTATCTTTGTAAGAAGAGGCACAATGATCATGGGAACACACAGCAAGGTGGTGGCCACCTACTAGCCAAGAGAAGAGAGAGGCCTCAGAAGCCTACTTGGCCAGCACCTTGATCTTGGACTTCCTAGGCTCCAGTGTTATGGAAACGACAGGCCAGCCAAGAAACAAGCACCATCCGGAGGGCTGGAGTACTCAGATGTATTACGCCGGCGGGCTCAGAGGGGCTTCTGCTCCGAAGCTCTGAGCACCTCCAAGACGTGCGCATGAGGTTTTACAGGGTAAAGTACAAGCTTGGGGTATTCGGCCAATAGGCATGGAACAGCTTTAGCAGCACCATTATCACAAAAGTGGAGGCAGGGAGGCAGCAAACCAACATTCCAAAGCCAGATATGTATCTTTGAAAACCCAGCTGGCTAGCAAAAAACATGAACAGCAAACCAACACTAATTAAC